ATAAATATTAAGAAATATGAAAGAAACATGTGTATTAATTATTGACTCTGTTTCCGGCCGCTATGCTCATCAGCCCCGTAACTGCAACTGTACCTGATCATAGAATACTAGTGAAGCAATAACTTGTTATCGGAGGAGGGGAAAATATTATTTATATAAGATTATTCTTATATAAAATATGTAAGAGTTAATTAAAATTCTATTTTTAAATATTAAAGAAGAAAGGTAATCATGGAACACCAATTCATGAAACACCAATTTATTTATAAATTAAATTGATTTGATTGAGTTAATTCTTTCAACATTAAAGTAGTTCAAAATGCTATTTAGATTTAGACATTAGCATAAATATTATTTTTATTATATATATATATATATATATGGATGCAAAATCACACAATTTATTTGTGTTGAAAAATTAAAGTAAAATTACTCGTGTTGTTGTTGTAGCCCATAGGAATCTGCTTCCTTTGTTCACTTTGAGAGTATTAAGCGGCACTCGGTTGTCGAACTCGTTAAGTCGGTCCAGGACGTAAAACTGGCCGTACTTGATACCACTAAACTCTTTTTGAAAGTCAATATTTCCTTTATTCATTTGAATCAAATTTTAGGTCAAAACTTTTAATAAAAGCTGCATATTACACTGATTGTCGATTACTAATTACAAATGTAAGTAAGTCTTGTTTTATTTGGACTTTTAATAGAAAAAATTTCACTTGATTGATATAATGATGATATGACATGATGACACCACCTTATAATATTGCGATGGGCATCTATTTGAGATGATGGGCAAAGGCAACATAACTATTCTATCTTGAAATAGAATCAAATAAGTGTCTACTTCAAAAGCTACTCGCACACCATATAGTTATACTGGGATACTATATGGAGATATTTGTATTTGTTTTACAAACTTTTTTCATCTTTGATTGACTATAGTACAATATACTTACTTTTTTTGTTTGTTTTGAATTATAATTCGTCATCATACTCATCAGTCTTAGATTTATATTTGTATTCATATCAGTTTTCTTTTATCCTTTTGACTCTAGAATTTCGGTACACTCTTCCTGCATATCTAAATCAGGCAGTGAACTTAACTTTGCGACTGCCATTCATTTTTCCCTTCTCGAATTATGCCGCCTTGAGGCTGGTTGGCGTAGGTCATAAAATGTTCGCTTACTTTTTCAAACTTGATCTAGTTTGCTCCAAAGTTTCAGTTGCGAGCAGCACGCCACTCCTAAGAAAGGTCGGCTTGCAGTACTGCACTACACTTCGGAAAAGTTTTCAGCTTAAATGCCAGCAAATAAGCAAAAAGAGGAAAACAGGAAAATGGAAAAATGGGAAAAAAAGGAAAAATTACAAAAAGTAAACAAATTTATGAAAAAAATACTAATAAAATGCGGCTCGCAGGCAACAAGCAACGAAATACAAAATGAAAACAAAAAGGAAACTTTCCCGCCAACGTACAACAAAGCACGGAAGATTACTACAAAGACGAAAAAGGATATTAAAAAACGTATAAAATTACGCAAAATAGAACAAAAAAATGATTTAACAACGTCATTGGCGTGAGTTGACTGAGTTGAGTGAGGAGCGGTGCTGTGCGGTGCGGTGCGGTACGCTACGGTACGGTCTAGCAGGGCGAGCAAATCGTTGCATTGAGTTGCGTGTTAAATTGTATTTCGTGTTGACGAAAGAGGCAACAAAGTCAAAGTGGCAGCCAGAGCTCAGCTGAGTTGATTCAAGTTGAGTTGTGTTTGGGAAAAAAGTAGTTGAGAAAGTGCGGAAGTACGCTTACAATGTCAGTTGATGCCATCAACAGCACCCATCAGCCTCTGTACCCTGAGCACCCTCAGCACCCTTAGCACCAATATTCAATATACACTTTAATAGTCAGAACGGCACATAAATACGTTTACCTTATCCGCCCACAACGCAGCGCAGCACGAACAATAAACAGGCAGTCGCTCACACAACAACTCATTTATGGCTTACAGCACGGGTCGGGGGTGGTTGGAAAAGTTGGGTCGTTGTTGACCAACGCTACAGATTTTCATATTTTCTTCCTTTTTTTGGGATTTTTTTACTTTTATGCTCATACTTTATTATTTTTTTATTACTCTTTTATTCTTTTTTATTGTGCTTCATTTTAATGCTAGCCATCGCTTGCGTCCCAATTTTTTCTACTCATTTTTTCATCTTTTGAGCACTCAACATTAAAAAAACTTTTTCTATTTATTTTTTTTGTTTTTTTTTGTTTTCTCGTATTTTGTTCCTTTTTTTACGTTATTTTGGTTTGGTATTGCAACCAGCTTCAGCTTTCTGACTGCCTGGTCACTGGCCGGCCACTGTTGTTCTTTCTCGTTCAATGGTCGGTCTTGGACATTGGTAAATGGTCGCGATTGTCAATTGTTTTGTTTATAAAAGAAATAAAAGTGTTTGTTAGACTGGTCAGTCGCGTTTGTGGCAGGTACAAGATATCGAATGGCTCGCTACTGTCCACTCTCGGGGATACAATGTCCATTTAGTCACCCCGACCGACCATAAGCTCAGAAATGAAAATAAATTGCTGCCCAGTATACCTACTTTTTTTTTCTTGTTGGACTCCCATTCTTTAATAATTTTTTCTGCTTTCTATTTTTTTATTTCACTTTACTTCCTTTTTTTTTGTATTTTTCTCATTTTCTTGCTTTTTCCAATTTTTCGTTAGTTTTTCTATATTTTTTTAACAAATTTGTGCGCATTTCTTTTTCCACATTTTTTCCTTAACAAAAGTAAAAGCTTAATTTTTATTACAGCCGTTTGCTACCAGCACATCACCCCCTCATCAACCTCTCATCAGCTTACCATCTCTACTTTATTATGAATTTTTGTTCAAGTGGCATTTTTACGAGCGCAGCTGCCTATTTTATCTGAGTTTTTCGGCCAAAAAATTCTACTTGACAAAGTTTTCTGCTCATTTTTTACTTTTTTGTTTATTCTCCTTCCACTGCGTTACAGCCTGTCTACTTGCTACCTACATTGACGTTGATGCTCAAATTTATTGAACCCATTCCGTTTAGGAAGAGGAAGACTGAGATTAAGAACTGCAATCGGTCGCTTGGTACGGTAACGATTGAAATTTTTTGGATTATTAGAAAAAAAATGGGATATAATTATATTTAATACTAATTTGTAATAAATCTAAGCTATTTTGTATTCTCCCAACAACTATCCTTTATATAGGAACTCTACTATCCTTGATGAATGTGGGGAAGTACAACAGGTCATATGGGAAATAAAATATATTTGAAATTCATAACTCTTTTTTTAGAACTCCAGATTAAGAACTGCAATCGGTCGCTTGGTATGGTGACGATTGGAATATTTTGAATTATCAGAGAATAAAAGGGATATAATTCTATTCAATACTAATTTGTAATAAATCTAAGCTATTTTGTGCTCTTCTAACAACTATCCTTTATATAGAAACTCTACTATCCTTCATGAATGTGAGGAATAAAAGATATATGAGACTTATAACTCTTTTTTATCTACGAGCATTACAAGTACTTCTTCCATATTCTAGTTTATTGAATTCCTGGTGTTATATATTTTAACAGAACTTTCGGTTTGGATATGGAATGTATATAGTGTTATGATAATATATATAATTATACTTTCCAACTTTATACTTTTGCGTTTTTTTTTTAATTATAAAAATTAAATACAATTTTTTAATTTCAGTTTAAAGTTCAAATTGAAAATACTTGAAATATTTAAGTACTGGTGACTGGTACTTTTCATATTTCTGAAGTGTAAATCAACAAATACTACTCCGAAGCGTGAAATATACTCTAAATAAAGTAACAGAAAGACTCCATGGCGTAAACGTCTTCACCTCCTTACCTATTAAATTCTAGTAGCTCTAAAAAGTAGTTTGCACAAAGTAGTTTACTTGATTATATGAAAATAAATGCGTATATTTTGACAAGCGTAGTTTTTATTTTATTTTATTTTATTTTATTTTATTTTATTTTATATTAGTTTATTTAATATCATTTTTTATAATGACGTTCTATTAACCTTACTTGATAACTGAAAGTAACATTAAATGTAT